TCTTTTTCTTTCCTTTTTTTCTATCTCTTTAATTTCCTGCACTTTTCCTTTTTTTCTACTTTCTTTCTATTTCTCTTTTTCCGTTGTTCTTTTCTCCTTTCGATTCTTTACGTTTTGTATCCTTCTTTCTTTCTTTCTTTCTTTCTTTCTTTCTTTTTCTTTCTTTCTTTCTTTCGTTCTTTCTCTCGTTTTCTTATTTCTTTTTCGTTTTTCTTTCTTTTCTGTATTTTTATTTGTGTTTTTTCTATTTTTTCCACTTCTTTCTTGTTACTTTCCCGCATTTTTTTTTTCTTCTATTTTTCACTTTTCTTTCGTTTCCACTTCAACCTTAATTTCTTTGCCTAATCTAACGCCATTTCTATACTGTACATGTTCAATGTTTTTTTTTTTTTGTTTTGTTTTTCTTTTTTGCTTCACTCCCTCCTCTTTCTACACACAGCATCTCGTCTGGTTTTTACTTTCAGTTGAATTCAGTCCAAGAATCTCCCGGGTTTTTTCCCATCGAGAATTCGGCTGCGACTAGCATGTTTTATGTCCATGCCACTGTCACAATAGCACATGAAAATGCGACCTGTTTTTTGAACTACATTCTTTACGCTCTGAGAGGGACATTTTGTTCTGTTTATTCCAGCGTGAACAAACCAATGAAATCTCAATGGGACTCTCTGTTAATGTGTCACGTTGGATCAAAGAAATGGAAAATTATTAAGCCAAAAAATAATAAATAAATAGAACTATAGGTTTTAAATAAGAAAATACGTCTAAAGAAATGTTACCAAATTTAATTCTGATTATATAAAACAGCTTAGTTTAAACTTGGAAAAACCTAATAAAAAATTTTCATAATCGACATTTCATGCCTTTTACTAATCAACATTTACACACACACACACACACACACACACACACACACACACATACATACATACATATATATATATATATATATATATATATATATATGCGAATATCATGTAATAAAGTGTAAAACTTTGATAAAACATGCATTTCGTAGGGGAAAGCTTTTTCATTTTCAAGTGAATATTGGAATAACTTATTTTTAAAGACATAAGTTATTCCAATAACTGTTTTTTTTAAAAAATAAGTTATTCCAATAAATTATTTATAAAAAATAAGTTATTCCAATATTCGGTGAAGATGAAATGGAACTAATGCTTTTAATTTAATTATATAATTAAAGTTAAAGGTTTTAGCTTCCATTTTTGAAACATGGTTATCACTGTGTAGCGAAAACCATATTTTGAATCAGTTAATTTATAGTATTTATGCTCTGTAAAGTTACATTGTGCACTGTCTTGCAAAAAAAAAATAAAAAAAGAACAAGAACACCGGATTATATAGATTACATATATATATATATATATATATATATATATATATATATATATATATATATATATTCACGTTTTTTGTATACACACAAAAATATATCAAATTTTAGTGGACCAATATTTATGGGAGACGTATTTAAAATTAGGAGGGAGCAATTCTAGATAGAGACAGTTTGGACATAGGAATGAACACTATATATATATATATATATATATATATATATATATATATATATATATATATATATATGAAGAAATATAGTTTTAAGTTATGCTATATTTAAGAGTTAAAGTGCTCAATATCAAAATAGAGTGTATGAAAATATAAATATAAAAGTAAATATTGCAGTCAACAGAGTTTAGCATGAAACAGTCTGTTGCCTCTGAGTGTTGGCTTTAATGTTGACTTTTCTATATATATATATATATATATATATATATATATATATATATATATATATATGAAGAAATATAGTTTTAAGTTATGTGTTAAAGTGCTCTATCAAAATAGAGTGTATGAAAATATAAATATAAAAGTAAATATTGCAGTCAACAGAGTTTAGCATGAAACAGTCTGTTGCCTCTGAGTGTTGGCTTTAATGTTGACTTTTCTATATATATATATATATATATATATATATATATATATATATATATATTTTGTGTGTGTCTGTGTGCGTTTTTTCTGTGTGTCATGTGCCTGTCTGCTTGTGTGTGTATGCGTGTGTGTGTGTCTCTGTGTGTGTGTGTGTCTCTGTGTGTGTGTGTGTGTGTGTGTGTGTGTATTGGGAACAAATATGGTTTAAAATCCGACAGAATAATAAGATAAGCAACAGTTTATAGATTTCACACGTTTCGCTTTTATTTAATCTTCATCAGAAATGAAATATGGAGTAGAATAGAATATTCGGATAGTTTTGTTATTTTTTGTTGTAAAACTCCTCCTAACACAGAAATAATAATAATTATTATAATTATATATATATATATATATATATATATATATATATATATATATATATATAATTGTATATATATATATAGATATATATATATATATATATATATATATATATATATATATATATATATATATATATATATAATATAAAGAAGAGGGTTGTACGTTTTTTTATTGTAATATATTTATTGAGAAAAATATTATACTTTTGTTTTTGCATAATTTCACGACACGTGTTTCTGGTCTGGTCTAGTCTTCAGGTGAAAGTGGAGATTTTTACATTTATTAAAAATAATTAATTTTTCTTCATGTTCAATGTGGAATATTCTCGATATGAGACATTCTGTTTTGTGTGTTGGCAATCCGAATTTTCTTTCTAGAATTGTCAATGAAGAGTTCTGCGTGAAGGGTCAAAAACAATTAAGGCACTAAAACATTAAAAGATTAAATGCCGATAACTACTATGGACAAACCTTAATTGTTTTATGACCCTTCACGACTGTCGCCTTCTAAGTGTTGAATTTATGTTCACTTTTATATATATATATATATATATATATATATATATATATATATATATATATGACAGGAAGTTGTGGAAAGACATTGAGTTTTAACATCCTGAAGTGATACCGCACATAGAAAAAGAAGAAAATATAAGCATTTAGTTTTTTTTCGAAAATAGGTCCATATTAGTAGTTAATATTATAATATTAACTACCAATATGGACCTAAATATAGTTGTTTTTTTATACTTGAAGATATTCATCGTTTCTACTTGAGTCTATAAGTATTTTCATTGGTTCAGGAATAGGTAAATATTTGTTGCTTATATTTGAGTCTATATGCATTTAATTTGGTTTGCTAATATGTAATTACTGATCGTTCATACTTATGTTTTTCAGGTAAATATTAGTCGATTTTATTTCAGTATATAAACGTTTATTTTGGTTTGGGATAGGTAAATATTGATGGTTTATACTTGAAGATAGAAGCATTTGCTTTGGTTCAGAATAGGTAGATATTGGTCGCTTATGCTACAAGCAATAAGCGTTTACTTTCGTTACGAATAGATAAATATCGTTCGTTTTTACGTGAGTTTATGAGAATTTATTTTATGTTCGAAGGCAAATAATGGTCTTTTTTATTTGTGTCTATAATCCCTTACTCGATGGTTGCTTAGCACTGAGGAAGTGTTTACCACCTCTGCAGTGGATGCAGTTGTCTTATTCTACGGCAGGAATGGACTTGTGTTTAGGTCTGGGCATTAAATCTGTTTCTGAAAATATTAACTTCATATCAGGTCTTTCAAATGCTCCCTCGTCTTTTCCCTGATAAATAACTGGGACAGTATGTTTTCTGATGGCCAGATACGACTCAGGCCACCCAGCTTATATCTGGTAAGCTAACACTGCCTAGGGGATGGATACAGTCGAGTATTAACTGAACCAACTTTATTTTTTTATTATCTTTTTTTAAATCCTTGATAAAATCGAAAAAAAAATGATCAATATTATTCGTCCTGATCTAACCTCGAATGTGATCTTCGTTATGATAACTAGATTTTATGAATTTAAGCGCAGTGCTAGACTGGTGACAAGCTCTCATCAATTTACAGCTGAATCTGCTACACGCAACTGTAAGTTTTGTGCTTTTTTTCTTTCACCTCTCGCTTGTGGAACTCTTTTCCGGTCACATGCTTCCTAGTCATATTTAATCATGGAAAATGTAAATGCAATGGGAATCGCTATCTACTGTCTTCACTTCTTTTGTTCTCTCTCATTAGTAATGTTAATGTTTTATAATTCTTCAACACCCAGTAACCGCTTGTGTTTTAGGGGCTTGGAGTGAAGTCGACTTACAAAATAATGCGCAATATATTAACTTATATAAACATTACAGATGAATCACTTGATTGAGGGAAAGATACATGAAATGTAGTTGGTGGGGGGGGCAAGAAACACGAGAAACAGGAGGCATGGTTGAGTAATGGATAGCGGCTTGGATTGAGGAATCGGAGAGCCGAGTTCGAATTCCAGTCGAATCTGTTACATTCACTTACCTGCTAATACCCTTGGGAAAGGTGTGAATCTTCTTCTTCTCTCTCCAGCTATGGGTAAATAGCAGGACGCAGGACAGACTGGGTTCTATAGCCATGGATGGCGACTGGTTAAGGAGAAGGAAAAACTCTGAATTCAAAACCTGTGGAGGGTCGTTAGGGAACCTAGTGGCACGTAGTAATCGGCCCTTCAAAAAGTGTGGATGGTCCTGCACGAAACCTTCACCACTATAATCAAATCTCAAGTGCTGGACATGAGGTTGGGGACCGCTTGTGAATTCCAAATTCCCATGCATCTCCAATATTGGAGCCGGCTCAACCCACCTTGGGTTAATGCCGTTAAAAGAACAAGAGAGAAAGAAACACCAAGTTAGTCACGGCCAAAAGAACTTTTACAGTCGGCGGGAAATTCATGCACATTCCTGTGATTGCATCTGTGGTACCTAGCTAGTGTTGTGGGCGTGTTTCTTAGTACGTACGTACGTACGTGTGGCGAGGGATGTAAGTATGAATGCAAATTGACGAAAGTACAGATACACGTAGACGCGTCTTTCAGGAGAACGGTGATGAGAAGGTGTAGACCAATAAGCGAGAAATTGATTTTCAATAGGTGGGGCTTTCTAAAGTTCTAACGAAAGTTCTCCGAGACGTGTGTTGAGAAGTTGGTCGGGATACGCTGAGAGGGGATAGGTCGGAAGGGACAAGGCAGAGAGATAAAATGCAACGTTATTTGAAAATTAAGAGGATTGAAAAATTTGAAAGAAATCAGATAGATGGGAAAGAATTGAATGTAATGCGATAGGTCAATAGCCAGATAAATAAGAACGGAGTGTTCTACAAGATAGATAGATAGATAGATAGATATGAACAGACTACGATAGATAGATAGATAGATAGATAGATAGATAGATAGATAGATAGATAGATATGAACAGACTAGGATAGATAGATATGAACAGACTAGGATAGATAGATAGATAGATAGATAGATAGATATAGATAGATGATATGAACAGACTACGATAGATAGATAGATAGATAGATGAATAGATAGATAGATAGATAGATATGAACAGACTAGGATAGATAGATATGAACAGACTAGGATAGATAGATAGATAGATAGATAGATAGATAGATAGATAGATATGAACAGACTAGGATAGATTGATAGATATGAACAGAATACGATAGATAGATAGATAGATATGAACAGACTACGATAGATAGATAGATAGATAGATAGATAGATAGATAGATAGATAGATATGAACAGACTAGGACAGATAGATAGATAGATAGATAGATAGATAGATAGATAGATAGATATGAACAGACTACGATAGATAGATAGATAGGTATATATATATATATATATATATATATATATATATATATATATATATATATATATCCATTTACATTTGCTTACATAGATAGATAGATATGAACAGATTAAGATAGATAGATAGATAGATAGATAGATTGATATGAACAGATTAAGATAGATAGATAGATAGATAGATAGATAGATAGATAGATAGATTTTTAGATTCTTTTCATCACGAGTAGTTTATCCCTAGTTTGTTGATTACATAGTTTCCGATTCCTCCTAAAGTTTTGTCGTTCTCATCACACCCAGTGTCCGCCTACGTCTTAGTGGCATCACCGTCTTCCTTGCGCCGAAGTGATTAAAAATAATAAATAGATAGATAGATAGATAGATAGATAGATAGATAGCGTTCTTTAATTTTTGCCTAAGGTTCTCTTTGCCTATATAAGATATCAATCAAGTCATAGGATTCCAGCTGCTTTAGAGCTACCCCTACAGTCTTTCCGAACTCAATATGGTTTCATATCTGTTGGCTACCCCTTTTTAAATTCACTTACCTTAAAAGCTTTGCCAGAAACGATTCCAACTCACAAATGCAAGACAACGCTTTATGCTCCGTCTCGTTGGTTACTCAAATCAGCCGGTAGATTTTACTTGGCTTCGGGCAAAGCCCAAAACACAGCGTATATAATATCCGGAGATGAGTGCTGATCGCAGGAGCTCATGGTCATTGAAAGAAAAAGGATATTTTTACCAAATATCCGAATACAGCAATCATTGAATGTTATGACATTGTGAATAACTTCATTTTTATTGATTGGTTAGTTGCTCACATGACCTAGGACAGCATTCTCGAAATGTCTCGGTATCGAGAACTACGCCATATATTTAACAATCCTTTCGTGGGACAGAGAGAAAATGGAATCCGTTTTATGTATGAATAAATACTAGGATAATTAAAACAAAAATATCAGCTCTTTCTCCATAACTTTCGGTTTGTTAAAATGCCTTCTACTCATCTCTAAATGTTTATAGTTGGTATGTTTTGGTCATGTGTTCTAAGCTTGATCGCACCAGTTTCCTTGCTGCTGTTACAATACAAACATGGACGCTCCTCTATGTGTGTGTCCCTAGGAGGAACAGTGAGAAGTGGTTCGATATCTCTGGTCAGAAAAAGTGTCAGAATCTGATATTCATGGGAGGCTTTTAACACATTACAGAGACAGTGCACTACTACGTAGAAGTATATATGCATGAAGGGAGAAGTTTAAAAGTGCCCGAAAAAGCGTGACGTACGAAGAAGGAGCGAGACACCCGTCATACTCCACCACTGACGAGAACATTCAGCAAGCTCGAAAGATGGTACTGGCGAACCGGCGAGTTACCATCGATGAGTAAACATGTTCCCTGATGAGTCGGATCACTGCTTAGTATTGGGTTTTCTAATGTGTACTTTAAGTTTATATTTCTAACGTTTTCTCAATCGGAGGAGATAGATTCCTCCCCGGTCTTTTGAATACTACAGATTTATCTCTTGTTTCCTCTTTATTATTCAGTTTCCAGTCCCTTTTAAAAACTTCTCGTTCGTTTTCACTTCTAGTAACCCCTTGCGTCTTAGTGACATTATCGCCTTGCTTCCAAGAAATCTAAGCGGATGTGCGTTCACGAGCGTACACCTGCCTGCGCCGATGTCCGTACGTGTAGGGTATCGTGATTATTCATGCTTTTCTTCTTTTCTCCCACTTTACTCTTAGTCCTTAGCTTTTCTTTTTGTCTCTTTTTCCTTCTTTTTCTTGTACTATTTGTTGCTATTTCTTTCCGGTTTTTTTTTTTCTATAGACATTTTATTGTTTTTAAATTGTGAGCATTCTAGTCTTTCCTTCAGTTAGGAAAATTTTATTTCATTATTTTTACATAGATAATTGATATTAATGTTTAAATGATATATATTTTTTATATGTTTTCACTTGGTTATTATTTCGTTTTCTTACTTGGTTTGGTGGTATCTTAAGTACCTAAAGAATTAATTGTTGGAGGTTAAGTTTATAAATATTTTTTTAAAATTTATTATCGCATGAATTTTTGTCCATATGCCTATATTTATACGCTTTCGCATCCGCACAAGTGCACATACACACATGTAGACATATAGATATACATGTGGACATATATACACATACAAACGCGCATACACAGGCACATGTACGCTCGCTTCTGCGATTTGTTATTAATAAACTAGTGCTTAAAAGGTAAAGTTATTTTTTATATTTTTATGGTATTAACAATGGTAGTTTTGGTTTATAAAGTTCTTAGCGGTTTGATTAGGTACATAGAATATATGCTCCCATACACACACTCACGCACGCACCCACACCTACGCCGCATGCACACACATATATATATATACACTCTTTAAGTAGTGTATATATAGTAAATATATAGTAAATTAAATATTTACTTACATCATTTGTTATCGTTTATCTTCATTATCGTATATACTTCATGTTTATGTATTGGTTAGTAATTTATTTGTTTTTGACTTACATACTGAGGTATCTATTATGGGGGTAAGTGTGTTCGCTTGTTTGTATGTATATATATATATATATATATATATATATATATGTGTGTGTGTGTGTGTGTGTGTGTGTGTGCATGCACGCATATACGGATAGGTGTGTATATTCAATATTTGTCCGTTTATTTATTTATTTATTTATTTATTGATAATGAATTTTGTTAAAATTTATATTATTTTTATTTCATATATTAATTTAATTGTTTAAACGTTATGTTTCATTTATTCTATTCATATGTTTATTTTTTATTTGTGCTTAGCAAAGTAAGTATTTATTAACATGCCTACACTTACTCATTATTTCAGATTTCTTGTTTAAGAGTTTGGAGTTTTATATGGAACTTTAAAACTAATTATTTCTAATATTTTCGATAACCATAATTCACAATTTTTACTTTTAATACTGTATGGAGCTGTTCTTTTAATAATTTCCTATTTGATTCTGGTTTTGATATTGTTTTCTCTTTGTATTTTGATATGGTTGTATTATTTGAGTATTTTGTTCTTTTGAAGGACACAAGTTTTTTTGTTTGTTTTTCTGTAGCGCTTATGTAAAGTTTTTTTTTGTTTTTATTAATATTATTAGTTACGATAGCTTTGTATATTATGTTACTAGTTAAACGTTTATTGTTAAGTAGGCAATATTCTTTGTTTCTGCAGTTATATTTGATGGTGTTATTTTGATATATACAGTTACTGTAATTGTTGAGTATTTTTTTTATTGTGCTTGGTTATTATTTTCTCCATTTTATGCATGCAGGTGTAACTAACATTGATTTTATTTTGATTGATCATTTTGGATAATTTTTTCTTTTTAGAGGGAAGCGTCTATCGATTATTTTGAACAATGTTTTCACTATTTGTGTTTTTATGTATTGTTGTTGAACCGAATTATATTTTCTTTTCTACTGTTTTGTTTGGAACGTTTTCGTTTTCCTGTTATTTGTTTTAATATCTACTGTTTCTTAGGGATCAGTTATATGTTTTCTTTTCATTGGATATTTTTAAGCAACTAGATTTTTTTTCTTCAAATTCTTTTATTTATAGATATAGTCATTTGTTTGAATACGTTAAGAAAACGTTGGAATTTTCGTTAATGTATATTGAGTTGTTGTTTCGTTTTTTGTATGGATTGTATGTTCCATTGTTCAGGTTAAACATCATATCTAAGAAATTTACTGTTTTTCCGTTGGATTTATATCAATTGTAAATCCTCAGTTTTTGAAGGATTTGGTTATTTCTTTTCTTATTTTTTCTGTAGTTCCGCCGTTATGGATGGATGTGTGTGTGTGTTTGCATATGTGTGTGTTTGCATATGTGTGTTTGTGTCTGAGCGTTTGTATGTGTGCACGTGTGTGCGTGTGTATGTGTGTCAATATATCTGTAAAGGCAATATAAATAAAATGAAAGACAACGGGAAAACATTTTACGGCTGCGCATTTTATCCAATGAGGAACTTCATCAAAGCAACGATACACATTTTATTTAAAAATCTGTATTTAACACAAAAGCTACGTGTAGAAAAATAAACTAACTTTGCTTAAAAATGTTGAAATAAAAATGGCTATAAATATTTTTAAAATTGTCAGTGTAAAAGAAATGAAAACTATGCAGGACGCGAAATGACGTAATTTTTTTGACCAATTTAAAAATACTAATGCATGATTAGGAACATTTTTAAAACATTAAACCACTTATGTATTAAGCATACATATTCATGATCATACACATTTTAATGATTTAAAAGAAAACACTTTAATATCCATCTTTAATTTAAGTAAATAAATAATACTTGAATAATAATATAAATATCGTTTCTTTTAGTAGACCGAAAAATTACGTCACATTAATTTTCCATATTTTACATTTTTTACACAGTATGTTTTTAGAATATTTTTGTAGAATTACATAATCATTACATTATTAATTGCTGGTATACAAAGTCCCACACATGTGTACACACACACACACACACATATATATATATATATATATATATATATATATAATTTAAAGGTATGCTATATTTATGGGATAAATTGCTCAGTATCAGAGAATGAGCGTATGTAAATATAAAAGTGTACATTGAAGTCAAAACTAAGATGTGTTTAGCATGAAACAGTCTGTCGCCTCTATGTGTTGTCTTCAATGTTCACTTATATATATATATATATATATATATATATATATATATGATGAACTTTCCCGTCGATTTCATTCAATTTTTATGCTTGTGTTGCATGTGACACTTCAGTCCCGCTAGTAATGTGCATACAATTTCAAATATTGTGCAACAGCAGGAATATGTACTGACGCTTTTCTCCGTTGTTTTCGACTCTTAGCCAATCAGAGACGACTGATTTCAAAATTTCTGATACCACTCTGGTACAAATATCTTCATTTATTTATATATATATATATATATATATATATATATATATATATATATATATGTGTGTGTGTGTGTGTGTATGTATTTGACGAATGAGGAACAAGCAAGAAAGCGAAAGCAAAACAATCCGTACATATTACGTGATTATAGGGGTGAAACCACATTTTGTGGAAGAGAAGAATACAAAAAACAGGTGCACAGCATGTCACGAGCCCCTCTACAGCAGTATTTGAATTCAGACTTGTCCTTCTAAGGCTATACGCAATGGATACGACTCGGATCCCCGATTCCTCAGTCCGAGCCGCTACGCATTACTCCACCCTTTATGTGTGTGTGTCAGTGTATGTGTATGTGTACACATCCTCACACACATATATATATATATATATATATATATATATATATATATATATATATATAATATAAAATAAAAATATATATACACAGGCGTATATATATATATATATATATATATATATATATATATATTAAGAAATGGACAAGGTCCGCAAATTTATTTATTAAAGACATTTTTTATGTTTAACGTTGTTATTTATAGATACAAGTATTTAAGCAAATGCTCTGTTTATGATAAACAGTATTAAATAACATTTACAAATATATGACGTCATTTGCTTATATTTGATACGCCAGAGCAGTTATGAATGTACGAGATTCATGGAAGATTGAAGTTTATAAGCAGTAAATTCGACCTTGTCTACCGAAAAGGTTCTTTGTGGCCCAGAGGTAAGGCA